GTATCTCTGGGTATTGTGTATATTTACAAAAACCTTTCAGAAAATGTAGAATATTTTTCTCGAAACCCATTCTACCTAACGAAAATTCGAATTTTCTAAATTACGAATTTATTTTCTGGAGCCAATCAATCTCTTTATACCGAGGTCCGACTTATTTTGATAAATTATTCTTATAAATGTTTATTTTCATTCATGTTTTTTTTATTAAAAATCAATTTTACAAACATTTTTTAGATAATCGAACGTTGTTATATTATTTCCAACTAAGTTTAGCTATGAACACCAAGTAAATTCATTTTAAAACTATTTAAAATACCCAAAATGAGTGAATTTTTTGTCAAAATCATATAAAATATAATTAATATTTTGGCAAATAAATAACAAATGTTATAATAATTATTATTACTTCTTATTAATTATCAACAAGTGAATAAAATTTAAATTCTTTTCGAAAAATAAAATATGTTTACACGATTTAAAACGCCAAAAAATAGCATACAATCAGCGCATACAAAATATATTTAAAAATATTACTTAATATGATTTAATTGGATAATTAATTTTTAAATTTTATAAAAGGGACTGTCCCGCTTAAATGAAGGGGGTAACAGGGGTAACAGGTCAAAAAATTTGTGTATCTATGATGTAGGTTTTAGAAATTTTTGGTACATTCGTTTTCGCTCCGTGGTTTTTTCAATTTCCACCGTGAATTAATATAAATTTTAACAAAAATTCATTGAAACATTTTTCATTTTCTACCGTGAATTAATAAAAATTTTAGCAAAAATTCATTGAAAAAATATTCAGAACGCCACAAAGAAGACGTGTATGTTTTAATTCTATTTAGATCGAACGCTGTTAGAACCAGTTGATTGTAGGTTTTTGGTAATTTTTCGTTGACCCTTTTAGATTCCTAGCAAAACTAAAATAAAAATTATAAAAATTTTTGAAATAAAATTCATAATAATCGATCACAATAATTAATACAACTGCTACTGCATAAAACTAACTACTTTGCTACTTTTAAAACTACTAATACGTAATTATTTAAAAATTTAAAAATTTGTTTAAATCATATTAAATTTAATTGACACATGTTAAAATAACAATTTTTAACTTTATTCTTCAAAGATTTACATATTAATAAACTCTTATAATTAAATAAATAACAATTATATCATTTATCAATCTCACAGTGTTACACGGGCCCTTGAAGTTGGGAGGTCTTGAGGGTGATTTGACAGGGAACTCCGAGTTTTAGTACCTCAAAAAACGAAAGATGGAATTGTAAGAGCCTTTAAAATAAATTGATAATTTAATGAATAATTTTATCAAGCATTTTTTTGTTGAGAAATTTGATATTTTTTCTAGGCCAGTTCTATGGTTGGCCACACGGTCAGGCAAGTGTTATTCGATCTAGTTTTAAAATGCCTCTTACATGTTTTGCCAACATACTAAGTATATAACATGAATACAAATACGTAGGTGTAATACTTGTGAATACGAATTTCAAACAAAAAATTGGCTGCATTTTTCCTTTTTTTTAAACAGGCCACTACAGAATTACACCACAAGAATGTAATGTAATAATTAGAAATATTTATAATTAATTAATTATAAGCGTTTAAAATTATTCTCAAAAGATTCGCAGTTTCATGATGAACAATGATGATGAGATGATAGTGATGAAGGTGATGACGACGACAACGACGATGATGACGCGTTTTATGTTGTTTTTGTATTTGTACCCTCCTGCCAGCCAGAAAGAAAGTTCAGTACTCCATCCACACGAAACGAGAAACGTACCCATTACGTAACTCGGCTTTGATCACATTATTTATGGAATATAAACTTTAAGTTAAAAATTTGCTATTTAAGTCAAAAATTTGCTATTTAAGTTAAAAATTTGCTATTTAAGTTAAAAATTTGCTATTTAAGTACATATGCGGCCCTTCAAAAGTTAATTAGTTCTCAATGCGGCCCTCATAACAAAAAATTTAACATACAAATATGCCCTTCATGTTATCCGTCTGAGTTGACGAGTTTGTTGAAAAACTGGTTGGATGTATTCAGGTGGTGGTTGGATGCATGGGAAGAATTAGACGAAAACTCTGTTTTTACTTGTGGGTACCTTCACGAATAGAAAAAATTTTATTAATTTGGGACTTCAATGGACATCATGTGACTTCATGAGTAAGAAAGTGTTCCTTTCAGTTGCGTCAGCTGGAACAACTGGTAGAGGCATTTATTACAGCAAGGTGAGAGCTTATTGTAGGGCTAGGGTTATAGTTAGGCTACAGATTATCAGGACCAAACATCAAAACTTACTACCGGGGGATCATGTTTCTTCTATGTTAATATCGTTGCACTGGCTCTCGATAAGAAAAAGAATTCTGTTCAAATTAGGAGTTTTGGTTTTCAAATGGTTGAATAGTCTTGCATTAATTTACTTGGCTGTAACAATGTAAATGCAACTAGATTTCCTTTTATCATTGTTATTAAAGGCTGAGGTCATCATTCTCTATCACAGGGGTAGGCAAACTACGGCCCACGGACCGCATGCGGCCCACAAAGGTCTTCTTCGCCAAAAAATCTCGTCAGCCAGACATTATAAACAAAAAAAGGGGCCACAAATTTAAAAATTTTTTCCACGCGTCAAAAAAATTTGCTATTTGAGTACATATGTGGCCCTTCAAAAGTAAAACAGTTATCAATCAGTTATAAACAGCCCTCACAACAAAACGTTTGCCCACCCCTGCTCTAACATGAGGTCATCATCCTTCAAAATGAGGTCATTATCCTCTAACAGGCACCACATCAGGGGTACCAGATTGAAGGGGGCCGACAGAGATTTTGAAGTGTACAGACCCATGCCTCGGATCAGTTTACCAGACGATCTTTGACAGAATGGATTGATGCTGGCAGAGTTTATGAAACGACTTAAAACATACCTCGTTGATAATCATTGCTATGTTGATTGACTGAAAATATTGAGCGCCAATGAAATTTCTTAATTATAATTGGCGCTATATAAATGAAAACGAGATGGTTATGATGATGATGATGATGATAATTTTGCCGACGATTATTATAACCCTGACAACATTGATGACGACGATGATGATCCTCACTACAAAGATGATGACGACGATTGTGGCTGTGATGTTGATGATAACAGTTACAATGATGATGTCTATAAGTAGGACGGTCATGAAGATGATAATCAAGATGGAAAAGATGGTAATAATGATGATATCATTAATGATGACGACGATGATGTGATAAAAATGATAAAACTTCTAATTACAAATTTTCCAAATCTTGAAATAGAAATAATTAAAAAAATCATCATCTTACCTGACATCTGAGGAATACAATTTGTAAAACTGAACTTCAAAAACGTCATTCATTTAATCGCTGTGTGTCCCATAGCCAAAGTGGTAGAAAGTTTCATCTCAGTAAGTTGAGTTGCATCGTTACTGTGTTCGACTGCAAAGTGATCCTACTCTTGAAGATAACTGAAAGTGTGTTTAAACCGCTGAAGCAAGGATTGCAGGCTTTCAACAGACATAATCATAGTGAGAGAGAGTGAGAGAAAGAGAAAGAAAGAGTGAAGAAAGTTAAGAAGAGAGAAAGTGAAATAAAACGAAGAAATAAACTAGAGAGAAAGAGGGAGAAAGAGAGAGAGAGAGAGAGAATGAATGAGTGTATATATGTGAATGTGTATATGCATGAATGAACGAATAAAAGAATGATTGAAGAATGAATGAATGAACGAATAAATGTTTCAATGGATGAAACGAATGTATGAATGAATTCAAAAATGAATGAATGCATGAATGAATGCGTGAATAAATTCAAGAAATAATGAGTGAATTAATGAATGAATGAAGAAACAAAAAAACGAACAAACAATGAAAAAAAGACGAATGAAAAGTTATAAATATACAAATAGGTGAATGAGCACAAACGTCATTCATTTAATCGCTGTGTGTCCCATAGCCAAAGTGGTAGAAAGTTTCATCTCAGTAAGTTGAGTTGCATCGTTACTGTGTTCGACTGCAAAGTGATCCTACTCTTGAAGATAACTGAAAGTGTGTTTAAACCGCTGAAGCAAGGATTGCAGGCTTTCAACAGACATAATCATAGTGAGAGAGAGTGAGAGAAAGAGAAAGAAAGAGTGAAGAAAGTTAAGAAGAGAGAAAGTGAAATAAAACGAAGAAATAAACTAGAGAGAAAGAGGGAGAAAGAGAGAGAGAGAGAGAGAATGAATGAGTGTATATATGTGAATGTGTATATGCATGAATGAACGAATAAAAGAATGATTGAAGAATGAATGAATGAACGAATAAATGTTTCAATGGATGAAACGAATGTATGAATGAATTCAAAAATGAATGAATGCATGAATGAATGAATGCGTGAATAAATTCAAGAAATAATGAGTGAATTAATGAATGAATGAAGAAACAAAAAAACGAACAAACAATGAAAAAAAGACGAATGAAAAGTTATAAATATACAAATAGGTGAATGAGCACATAATTAAAAACCAATTTGCTTTAAATTTTTATTTAATTTTTCAATCATTTTTTCATTCATTAATTTCTTATTTTCTTTTATTCTTACATTTGAACCCAAGCCACATCACTAACATTTATTCAAGATTTAAAAAAAAATGAAATTAATAACGTACCAAACATTTATACTTAAATAGAAGGGAAGAGGTCTCAACTGTTTCATGAATTGTGGATTTTTGCATCGCATATTATTACTAATAATGAAAAATAATGGTTAATAATGAATAATTATTATTAAAAATTAATAGTGCATTAAACATGTGCTAGATTGAAGACTTCTTTCAAATCAAATACTTTTATTGCCATTTTCTACTTTTTATTATTTCATTTTATTTTTTATTTAATTCTATTTTATTTCTTCCGGTGGATATAATGTTTAAAAAGTGTAGTTTATGAACGTCAAATCTTTAAAATTTTCTTCCTTTCTTTCGAAGTGGGACCATTAACCTGTCTTGGATTCGTCGCTAATTTTAATACACAACCACGTAAATTTTTCTGAAAATATCTCTATTTTTCAATAAAACACAATTTTTCACAAATTTGATCGAGTTATTTTTCACAAATTTAAGAACTAAATCTTTTTTATTCCAATATATTATCTGAAATAAACTTAATTCTTAATTAAATGACAAAAGCTATTTAATAATACAAAAAAATTATGATTAGTTTAATGTTTCTAATTAATATTATTACAAAAAGATACCATAAATTCTGAATATTTTAACGAGAGTTTGGTCAGTAAGATAGCTTAATGGTTAAAGCGTCTGCTAAAATCATTAATTAGACTAAAATAATATAAAAATGATATGAAATGATACAAAAATGATACAAAAAGGTACAAAAACAGAGATACAAACGGGATACAAACCTTTGTATACATGTATCGAAATCGAACTTTCTTTCCTAGGTTTGTTCATTCATTTGTTCGATTTTTACTTGCCTTCATTCATTAATTTCAATCATTTGATTAGTTAATAACATTTTACATTCATTTTTTGGATAATTAATTCATTAATTCATTTGTTCTTTCATTCATTCATTTATAATTCATTCATTTGTTAATTCGTTCACTTATTTATGAAATCATGCATTTATAAATTTATCTATCTGTTAATCCTTAAACAAATCCATCTATTCATCCATATATCCAAGTATTCATTCATTAGTGCGTGCATGGTAATATCCATTCAATCATTCACCCATTCAAAGCCAATTAATAATATTAATGATGATAGTTGAAATTTTATAGAATGTGTGTTAGATTGCAGTTCCTTCCATATTTTTTATTCATATTTTTCTATTTTTTCATTGTTATTTTTTTAATTTAATGTTTTCTGTAATTATTTCTTATGTTTTTACTAGAAAAACATGTGTCTGCGGCATAAATTAATAATTTAACAGTCAGTTTAACAGTTTTATTAATTTGTTTGTATGCTTTTACATCTATTCGTAATATATTACATACTTACATTCTTTTCATTCATCTATTTATCTAATCATTCATTCATTCATTAATGAATTATCCATTCTAGTAATTAACAGAAAAATCTAACTGTTAATCCTTAAACAAATCCATCCATTCATCCATAATAAATATCCATTCTAGTAATTAACACAAAAATCTAACCAAATATTTCAAATAATTGAAAACTTAACATTTTGTAAAAAAAATTTCTCTAGGTCAAACAGAATAAATTTGAAGATTCCATAAATTTGAATGGTCTCACCGAACAAAATCTCGTAACCTCTATCTTGTAGATTCTTTTTACGCCAGTAATAATAATAATTTGATCTATCAAAATTATAATTCAAGAAACTTGAAAATGATTTACGGCCAACCGTTAGAAAAATCGAAAAGTTAAATTGTAAGTTAATCAAATAACGCCGAACATGCTGTGATTTTCATAATTAATTGCATTTCTGACATTCTTAATCCAACTAAATTATAATCTATATGTTAGATTTTTCAAGGGCATTCAAATTTTAGGGAAAAATTAATAGTTAATAATTTATTTATCTATTTATTTATTTATTATACATTTAATTGTATATTTAATTATATATTTATTCATTTATTCACATAAATTTGAAATGAGTAACATGGGAAAGGCACACAAAAAGATTTTGAATAGATACTGACTAATTGATTGATTGGTTTTTATTCTTTCTATAATAATTCATTAAATAGACAGAATGATAAACAAAATTGAGTTTTGAATTTAGAAACAAACTAATAAATAAATAAATAAATAAATATATATATATATATAGTCCCACCTCTTTGAAAAGTTTATAAAACGACTCTCCCGGAGTTACTCTTGTACCAACCTACACAGCATAGAACAAGGTTTTGTGTCCGTTCTTGTTTAAATCTTGAATCAGCTGATCAAATTGTTGGTTTTGAGCTTGTTATCATCTTACGACACAGTTCAATAACGGTAACAGAATTCGTGTTCTCAGATACAGATCTCATGCTTGAATCTGTGATGCTGAGTTGGAAAATTTTCTTTCTTCCAGATCAGTGTGCCAACCAAATTGTTGTTTGAGTGTGTGTGTTGTTGTGTTTGTGTTGTTGTGTGTGTGTTGTTGTTTGTGTGTGTTGTTGTTTGTTTGTGTGTGTGGTTGTGTGTGTGTCGTTGATTGTGTATTGTTGTTTGTTTGTGTGTTGTTGTTTGTTTGTGTGTGTTGTTTCTGTGTTTACTGTTGATATTTACCTTTTTATGAAACGATTGCTATAAATGATAATAATATTATGAACAACGACCATAGTTACATGAATGAGATTGTTAAAAATAATACTAATGATATGAATAACAATTAATTAATTCTGTAACTACATGAATAATAATTTAAATTATATGAATAAAAAAAAAATCAACAAAAGGTTTTCAAATTCACAAAGATTTAAAATAAAAGTATTTGTTAACCTAATGGGATTGTTTAAACTCAAGATTAATATTTTTAATAATAGTTATTATTATTATTTTTATTCATATTTTCGTTTATAATTATAAATATGTCCTGGTTATGACATTAAACTGACCCTCACTTCCTTGTGAGTGATGTTGGATCATCAAAGGCTAGGCCCACCGCTTATAACTGTGGTTGCGTAAGGAAGGACATCCTGCGTAAAAATTAGCCAATAAAATATTTATGATGACAAAAGGGGTATTTCAGTTTTCATCATAGGTATCCAAACGGCAACCCCGATCTCGGAGAAAATGTCGTCTAAACGTGTGTTTTGTTGCTGTTGTATTTTCGTTTATAAATCCAATCAAGCTTAATTAATCTTATATGAAATCTTCTATAAATATTCATTCAAATTGAGTTATAATTAAATATAATTGTACATATAAATATAATTGTAATATTTATCTGTTACGCATTTTGAAAACGTAAATTTAAAAATAATCGCCAAAAATAATATTTAATTAAATAACTATTATTATTAAATAAATAAAAAACACAAATTGTGGAAATAATTAATACTTAAATGAAGGATAATTATGAAAAGATTAGGACATGGAAAATAATATGATATATATAATACGATTGGTTTTTCCTGTCTTGATTGTGGGTGTATTACCTCCATCACCATTATTATCGTTGTCACCATTTCTTGTTAAGCCAATGTTGTAAGCTAAAAATATTGCTCTTGGTGAATGCCAAATGATGAATGAACGATTGAATGAAATAATGAATGAATGAAGTAACTGAAGAATGAATGAATGAATGATTGATTGAATGAACGAAAAATGGAACGAATGAAAAGTTATTAAATGAATTGATTAAAAAACTCTTCAACAAATTATAAAAAAATCGTTTTAATTACACATCATCACTTATAAATTATAGACAATTGATCAATTAGACATTAATCGAATACAGATAAAATACATTTGGAGGAACTTTAGACTTTGGAGGTTTTGGTCAAATTGAATGATACCTCTGCATTTATCTTTAATAATTTGGACTGAAAAAAATCATAACTTAGTAATAACAAAAAATTTTGGCTACATTTAGCCTACTTATTAAGTAATTTATAAAAAATGGAAATAAACAAATAGACAAATAATCAAACAAATTGATAAAATCCAAACAAATAAACACAATAAATAAGACAAATAAGCAAATAATTAATAAAAAAACGAAATTGAAACGTCCAGAGCAATTGATAAACATGCATGCTGCTAAGTCATTCAGTGCAAAGGCATTATTTGTTTCTGGTTTTGTGTGTTTGTATGTTTGTGTTTATATGTTGGTGTGTTTGTATGTATATGTTTGTTTATATGTATATATGCATGTTTGTGTGTGTGTGTGTATGTATGTATGTTTGTATGTGTGTTAATTTGTTTGTTTTTAAGTGTGCGTGGTATGCATTCATAATCACAACAATAACATACATTCACACTGCACACACACACATATACCCACAAACACACACACACACAAACACACACACCCACACAAACACATCTACACACATACACACGCACACACACACAAACACAAATACGTGTGGTCATTGTCTACAATAAAAAAGTATTCTTAAATGTTCTTATTTCAATACTGGACAATAGAA